TTGCTCTTCGCGTTTCTCAGATTTGGGCCGAGGTTTCCTCCAATGAATAAAGCTTACAACGCCGAGCTCTTAAAGATCGGTCAACAGGTAGCGAAAGAGATGGGCATAAGCGACATCGTGCACAAAGGTGTGTACGCGTGTATCGGTGGGCCGAATTTCGAGACGGTGGCTGAGCTGAGGATGTTAAAAATGATCGGTGTCGATGCTGTGGGTTAGTATCGAAACAGATATTTATATCGTGAAAATTCCATAATTCCATGTATATTCCTTTTAGGAATGTCCACGGTTCACGAAGTGATCACCGCCAGACACTGTGATTTGATCGTGTTCGCCTTCAGCCTGATCACGAATCAATGTACCATGGATTACGATAAGTGCGAGCAAGCGTCTCACGAAGAGGTGATAGCTGTAGGAAAAGGAAAACAAACGTTGCTTCAAGAATATGTGTCCAATATCGTGATACGTCTGCGAGACAAATTGAACTTATAGATGAAAGGAAAAAATGATTTCTATAATTTATATATTTATTAGATGTTTTTTTTTAGGAATGTTTTTATCGAGTCTCTCTTATTCGTCTTCGTCGTCTAAGAGAATGAGAAAAGAACGAAGGAAAAGAACGTTTTCGATATGCGTGATAATTATAAGATAAATGCTCGAAACGATTTCTCGAACGATCGTAAATCACATTTACGGGAGTAAAGATTTTTATTAGGGATTTTTAATTATAATCGAAATTAGAAATTACATGTGCAACATGTATCGAGAACTTTTATCGTTAAATATCCGCTTGCCTCGGAGAAGAGATATTTTTTAAACGAAATCGAATGATTTCATCGAGATGCACGATATAGATAAGGTTGAACATAATATCACATTTCGACATATACGAGCATTGTATCGAGATTTTTAGATAATTTACGTTTAAAATATCGGTTACTGCCCTTATTTTATTCTTTGTCGTAACACTACGAATAATCGCTGATTAAGCAAGAGAGATTAATTAAATCAGTATTCGACAGTATTTCAACGAAACGAAAAGAAATTGGTTTATTCACGAGCTAAATCAGCTTAATTACCAGCATATTATTCGAATGTGTTTCAATTTTACGTTTGATCTCAACAATCAGAGAATAAAAAAATATACCTATTCTTTTTATGCGTATTCAAAATTCGTTTAAATTCGAGATCCATAAGTCGACCGTCTCCGATCTCGATTGATTCGTAACACGTCTTGAGAGAGAGAGAGAGAGAGAGAGAGAGAGACGTCTTACTTAAAAAAGGAGGGTAA